TGGAGCCTGGTAGCTCTGTTTATGGGAGGGAGAGCAAGAAAAAGTGCTATTTAAAGGGAGGGAAGACAAGGACCTCAGGAGAAGAAGAGTCCATGGTCAAAGAGGCCATGATGGCTTCATAGATAACTATGAGGAACTTGGCATGAGGTGTGTGCCATCCCCTCTCTTCAGACTATTTAAGCCATGGGTAGAGCACGGCCTGAGACATCAGCAGGGGCACAGGAGGCTGTAGCACACTGGGCTGTCCACATGTGAGAGATCCAGCATTTGAATCAGGGCCAGTGTTGGTGGCACCAAGACTGTGCTCAAGATCAAGCAGGTCCCTTGGATGCATCCATGGCACTGGACAGTGGGAGCATCCCATGCCCAGGGGGGCTGCAGTTGCTGTGCTTCTCCCAGAGATCCAGAGCCGGCTTTCACGGAGCCCAGATGTTGCAGAGGAAGCTGCTGAAGAATGATCCATCCTTTCCTTTGGCTCGGAGATGAAAGCAGCTCAGAGGAGCTCGGGGCTATGAGAGAGTAACTGATTAACCAGTGCTCAGCCACAGACACTGCAGGAGCCTCTGTTCTGGTTTTGAACAGTTCTTTCACCAGTTCCTCTCCAGCTTTCAGCCAGAGAAAGATCACACTGGGGGGACCTGCGCATAGGGAAAAACAAGACACAAACCCCCATCTCCAAGATTTTCTCCCTCTGATTCTTCAGTCTGTCTGTTTTCCTACTTTTTTTTCTTTGTCCACCCTTTTGCTTTGGGACTCCACCATCTCCTCTCTTCATTCTAAGCAGCCTTGTCCCCTGGCACTTCAGAGACTTGGCTCATCCTCCTGCTGACTGGCAAATGTTGGGAGGCCACAGCTACACATTTAACTCCAAAAGCAACCTGAAAATGGTCCAGTCCATCATCCCCTGTGGTCTGGGCAATGAAGTCAGTGCCAGCAGAATGAGTCAAGTATATCCACCACTGTTTGTGTGGCAGGGACCTTGCAGGAGAGACACTGGGGGAGAAGGATGCAAGCTAAAAACCCAAAGTGTTCTGCCACATGTTGGGTGCACATAAAAAGATGGCAGCAGCTGATATTGGAAGGAAGGACAGCCAACCTTTCTCCCTTCCAAGCAATTCCTACGTTGTTTGTGGAGTCTCTTTCCCTCCCAAGGCTTGACCTTGAAGGACACTATCAATTCCTTAAAGTTTTGGTGCAGGACTGTTGTGAGTTATTTCAGCATGTGATCAGGCACAGCGCCTCTCTTTCCTTTTCCCTCTCCTACCTTCCAGAAGGCTGTGTTCAGGGGAAGTTCAGGAGTGAACTCCCCATGCCCAGTCTCTGATGAGTCAAAAAATTCTGCCCCACCAGTGTATTTGGTTCCTCTCAGCAGTGCCTGCTACTGAAGCCTGGTACATTGTAGGGGCAGGCTCACACAAAAACAACAGCTTCAGTAAAAAGGATGTGCTGCCACCCCCCTCCCTTCTCCTGTGAGGGTTTGTACAGTCCTGACTTCCTCACAGAGACTCTGATCTGCAAGTTGTATTCGCGACCATAAAACAGAGATTAGCTCTTATCTCTGGCAGGCAGCAATATCAGGCACCAGCCCTTGCTCCAGAGCATTGGCAGCCGTGGACCAGATCAGCACATGAAGACAAACTTCTTGGAAGAGGAGGAGGATGCGGAAAACACGGGGAAAACCAGTTAGAGGAGGTCTCGAACCTGGAGGATGGGATGATGCCAACCTGCCCTGGGCTGGGAGGGAGCCCTGAGCCGCGGTGCAGGGCGAAAGGCAGGGGAGGAAGCGGTGATTAGACACCAGCATCTGCAATCAAGAGGCAGGAAGTGTGATCGCCGGGAAACACTCGCCCCTCTTACCGTGCCTGATAAGCCGCCGAGTGCCCCGCGGAGGAGGCACCCAGCCCTTCCGTGCCCCCCTGGAATGGTGCCCGCCCGGCAGCGCCCCAGCCCTGCACACGCAGGGAGCTGGTCCTTGCCGCTGAGCCACCCAAAATGTTTCCACTGGTTTCCAGTGGCCACTAATTGCCAGCGCTCCCACAGAAATCCCCAAGCCCATTGGCTTGCAGGAGGGGTGGCCCAACAGGGAAGGATTTCCAGCATCAGTCCTTCCCTCTTGCTGGCAGTGGGGTATCATTGTACCTGGACGGAGGAGCTGTATAGACAGGCAAAAACCCAGGGCTGTTTTGGAGTGTTACTCACAGCAAGACAAACACAGCTCTGCTTATGGAGAGGATTGGGTTGATTCGGCAGTGGGATGTGTGGGATCAGGCTTTGGTCATCAGATGGCTGCAGGAGGGAAAGAGCAGGAGAGGGAGAGACAGGGGAGGTAGGGAAGAAAAAAGAAAAAGAAAAAGCAAACCAAAAGAAAAGAGAAATAAATGAAAGAAAGGAGAAAAAAGAAAGGAAGGAAAAGGAAAAAAAGGAAAAGGAAAAGGAAAAGGAAAAGGAAAAGGAAAAGGAAAAGGAAAAGGAAAAGGAAAAGGAAAAGGAAAAGGAAAAGGAAAAGGAGAGAAAAGGAAGAGGAGAAGAGAAGATAAAAGAGAGAAAAGAAAAAAGAAAAAAGAAAGAAAAGGAAAAAAAAGAAAAGAAAAAAAGAAAAGAAAAGAAAAGAAAAAAGAAAAGAAAAGAAAAGAAAAGAAAAGAAAAGAAAAGAAAAGAAGAAGAGAAAAGAGAAGCCCTTTTGAAAGCCTTAAACCTGCCTCTTTATCTCCCTAATCTGTATTTCCCCCCCAAGCCTCTTTCTGTACAGGATGAAAGCAGATTTCTCCTCTTTATTTTCATTTTCTGTGTCCTTTAGGAAGGCATTTGCTCGAGACTAATTGAATTTTCTGCCCGTGAAGAGAAAGACACGACACAGAGTGAGTTAAAGTCCGACACCAGGACAGGGCGCAGGAGCCGTGTTAACTGGTGTGGGGGACAGCCCCTCACTTAACAAAAGTGTTTAATTCTGTCCCCTCTTGTTAAGAAGGGGCGGAAGGAGGGGATATTTATTCTGTTCTTTTCTCAAGGTTTTTCCTTTCGGGTCACAAAGTGCCCCCCACGCTCCCGGCCCCCCTTCTCTCCCCGCTTTTGTGGCAGCAGCAGCTGGTGGGTTGCAAAGGGGACAGGCTTTGTCTTTTGACACACTTGAACATTTCTGCACAGAGCTGGGGAAACCTTTCCCTTCCCACCTCTCGCCTTTACGGGCAAGGAGGAGGGAGCAAGGGGCAAGTGGTGGAGGAGTTATGACTGAGGGGATAAAATGGCTCAATGGGTTGTGGAGCCACAGTGGACAAGGGATCAGGGCTGGGCTGTGCAGGGTTGTGGTGAGCAGATGGTGATGGGCACCAGGGAGGGGGTGGGACGGCCCTGAATGCAGAGGAAGCTTGTGTCGAGCAACCTGTTGAAGGGAGAGGGGAAGAAAGCAATGCAAAAGGCTGCAATCCCATAAAGGAGGGTGCAGTGGCTGCCTCTTCCCAAATCCAACAAAGGAACCTCTTCTGTCCCTTTGTTGCCCTCCCAGAGACGAGCCCCAGTTAATCTTCTGGCCATGACACGTGGAGGATTCGCTTGGTTTGTTCTACAAGTCCGTAAAACCAGCTCCTCTTTCTGCAAACAGCACCCTTGAGTCCTCCATAAAGGTTGTGCAGACCCTTTGGTCCCTCCATGAAGGCTGTGCAAATCCTTCAGTCCCTCCATGAAGGCTGTGCAAACCCTTTGGCCTCTCCACACCTCCCCCAGGGATGGGACAATACAGCTGATCCCCAGGAATTGGTGAGATACAGCCGTGTTTGACAGCAGGACTTGAGGAATGTCATCATGCAAACCAGTGACAGTGACTTGGGACTGCAATGAGATCAGGCTCCTTGTAGGCATGAGCAGGAAATTGGGGCTTGACCCCTGAGCCGACCCCACAGCAGTTGGTATAACCTGCCTTCATCCACCCTGTACATATGGGTTTGCAGCCTGGGAATGGCCCCAGCACCTTCTCTGTCCTGGGCAAAATTAAAAGTAGAAAGATAAAAACCAGCTTAAATTAGGAAAGTAAAAGCCATCTCTCTCATGATCCTTACAGCTTGATTTGAGAACTAAATCCCTCTACCCTTCCTGTTGACCAAACACCTCATCTGAGACCCCCAGCCCTGTCCCTGGGACAACACCACGTCTTTATCCTGCAGTGAAAACCAAGCCCTCACAGCCTAATTGCTGTTACTGGGTGTTCACCTACAGCAATACCCAACAGAGACTGCACTGGGAGAGGCACGTGTGGACACTGAAGGATAAGCCTCCCAAATTGCAGCCAGTGGCCTGATTAAAGCCTGTCCAGCTCTGCCTTGCACCAGTGCAAGCTGGCAGCTTCAGTGCATGGACACTGGGGTAAAACCAGTTATGAGGTGAGTGACAACAGAGATGTGAATTTTAACCTTTGTGCGGCACCGGACAGACAGATGAGACTTTGGGAAATGCCTGTTTCCGCAGGAGCTTCCAGGAGAGTCCTCATGAATGGAAAATAAATAGATACATTCATTATCCAAATTGTCTTATTTTTGTGGTGCCTCTTGAGTAAACCCACTTCTGAGGCCGTCCTAATTGCTTTGCAATAGAGCAGAGATAAATATTTATCAAACAGCTGCATCAGGAAACCACAGTTCAGAGAATCAGTATCGGGCGATGTGTCTCAGGAAGGATGAGTCTGAGTGGTTTTAAGCTTGCTGACCTGTCAGGCTTCCTCCCTTGCACGAGGCAGAGCTTCACCCAAGCCCAGACCCATGTGGCACCACACCAGTCCCACACCATCACTCGGAAGTGGTCACACAGAGCCTTCGGAGGACTCTTCTCCATGCTGGAGACCCCTCCTTGCCCGTCTCATTGACCTCTTTTTTTTCTGACACCTTTTCTTCCTCTGACTTCATGGCCTCTCTTGCTTTCTATTAAAAACCCCAGAAATGTGGCCCATATTCCTCTGGGAGCACCAGTGCTAAAAGAGGCCCACATGCAAATATTTAGCCGCACTAATATTAGCGCAGAAACTTCCAACCAGATGGCAACGTTTCTAGGTCTCACTGTGCAAAACTGGCTCTCCAGAATAAAACAGGCTGTGACAGAGCTCTGTGATCACCTGCCACTCCCTGAAATCCCAGACCACTTCACCGAGCCAGCCAGGCACATGGGACAAGGGCTTTCTAGCATCTTGCACGTGAGGGACGTCCCCTCAGCTGGTGGTGTTTCATCTAAAAAGAGAGGAAATGACAACCAAATTTTGAGGTTCAGTGTATCAGACAAGAGGGTTGGCTTGCATGGGTTTGCAGCAAGGGTGTGTAGGTCTCTTGCTCCGGGTGTGCCTGATCCCTCAGTAGAGTGGTGGCATTTTGCATTGGCCACAATCGCTGTGTGCTGTCCATAGCTGGGGAGAGCAAAAACTCTTCTGTGATTGTTAAGATCTGCATTAAGCAGCAAAGAAAAGCAGAATTTCCTCTGCTGCGGAATTAGTGCCCATCCTTTAAAAAACTTATCCTCCCAGGAGTGCTCTCCCAGGCTGGAAATGCCCAAAGAGATGATTGCAATGCCGAGCACAAGCCAGCTGAAGTGCCGGTCTGACCCTCGGATGGATGACGTTCCTGTTTAATTGGGAGCGGGTGTTCTTTGACTCATGCAAAGGGCATGCTATTTTTATAATGAGCTGATCCCAGATCACAGCCTCCTTATGTTAGGCTCTGCACATACATCTAATGAAAGCCAGGTCCTGCCTAGAAGTCCATACAACGGGTAGAGAGTTGGGAAGAGAGCTCTGAAGCATCTCACCCAGGGGCTTTGTGAGGTTGCCCGCCAGGGTCTGTTTTTTCCATCCTCACTCATGTCAGAGAAGTTAAATATTTACTGAAGCTATTAAATATTTATGCTAAGCTGCTCCTCCCGTGGGGAGGCATCCTATGGCTGGCTCCTGGGGGTCTGCGGCCAACTCACGTGTCTGTGCTAAGCTCAGCTCTGCTCCAGAGTGCAAACACATGGGGACTTCACAGGACTACCATGTCCTGTAGGGCAGGGAAGGCTCTGGTTTTGGCAATAAATAATACTATTAGATGATGGACTTGGTGGTTCTCTGAGTGTCTTCCTTAAAGATAAAATCCCTCAAGAAGGTGTAGGTTGCTCTTTGCTGTCCTTAACCCCATGGTTTGCAACACCACCTCACCCCTGGTGTGTGGGAAGCTGCTTGAGAACATCCAGCCTGACCCATCTCCAGCTCCCTTCATTCTCCCAGCAGCTCACCAGCACTTCCAGGAAAGCAGGAGGACTTGAGGCAGAGAGTCCCTATTCAATAGCATCCAAGGGGACCCATGGTCAACACGGTAAGAGCAGGAAATGTGGTGGCAGTGCCAAACCTTGCTGCTCTGCAAAGCACAAGCCAAATGGGAGAAACACCATCCCACCCCTGGGACAAGCTCCCCACTCCCACCCAGGCTGAGTGGGTTAAATATGCTATGACTCCTCACTGGAACAGGGCCAGAGGAAAAAGGCTCCACCACTTCCCGGTCTGCCTGGAAAACAGGCCAGCTGTTTTCTCCAGCGGCTGAAATGTGTTTATTCTGGGCCGTATTCAATAGTGTGTTGTACCCCCGAACCCTGATCTCCAGCCTATGGTGAGGCTGGAGAGCACAACTTGCCAAGGGGAGCTGGGCACTCTGCCCACCTGGTGTGACCCCTCCTCAGGCGCCACTCTGCCCTTTCTGTCCCCATCCCTTTCCTTTCCTCGTCCTGCTCCAAGCAGGGCTGGGGACGCCCTTTCCTGCCTGGCACCCGGCTGGCCCAACAGCAGAGACGGTGTCGCCAAGCACCACTACACCGTTTCCCCTTCACAATCCTGGCCAAAGCCCCACCACGTTATCACCCTCTCTGCTGCACTATCAACCTGAAAAACGTGCCTGGGAAAGAAAGACTAAAGAAAGGAAAAAGAAAGAAAGAAAGTAACCAGCCTTCGGCTCGAGCACGCCAAAGGCAGCGACAGCGCGCGCGGGCTTGGCTCACTTTCTCGCCAGCTCTTTTCCCAGCAGAGTGATAAGAGGCTGGGCGAGTACAATGACAAGCAGAGCAGGTCCCAGCGGCTCAACCAGCTCTGGGCTGGGATGGCCAAGGGACACTGAGTGCTCCACAGGGACATATTTCCAAAATAAAGTCATTCTGGTGCTCCTCCAGCCCCGCCAGCCACCCAACAGCTCGCTGCAAAGCATCGCTGCCGCCCCCACAGCCAAATAAAGCTGTGAGGAGCCCTGAGCCAGCAGAGGCGAGTTTGAGTGCTCCCCAGGCAGCCCCTTCCTCCAGCAGCAGCAGTTCTCAGTGCGAAGAGCAGCACATGGGTTTGGCCGGATGCACACGCAGCCCCCGCAGCCTTCCCAGCGTGGCCCTCTGCCCTGTCACCTCTCTCTCCCATCCTCTCCATCTCCCATTTTTCCCCCAGTATTACTGCCTTCTTTGCCAGGTATATCCACACACGTGCTTGCTGTAAACTGAGCTCTGCTCAACCTGAACACAGGATGGATGTTTGGAGCCCAAAATGCAGATGACGTTGTAGAAGGGCAGCTGGGAGGTCCAATGTGAGCCTGGTCCTCAGCTCACAGACCTACATTGTGTACCCAGCCTGCTGGAAGAGGGATTCTGTGGTATTTGGTCACTGCAGGACACTTTTGAGCACACATGCTGTGGATGTGAGATACCTGTTTTTCTGGGAGATCGAATCCTGAGACCATCATCCACCCCATGCCATGGTGGAGGCGATGGATCTGCCCAGACAATGACAGCCCCAGCCATGAGCTCCTCATGGAACAGCATCTGAAATCCAGAGGGCCCACAGGGCCTGCCCCCCTCAGTCTCCAGCACAACCTGGAAATGTCACAGCGTGCAGCTGGCACACTCAGGTCACCCTGACCGTCGTCCCCAGCCCTTCCTCTTAGTCATCTCTTCCTTACAGAAATAAATTAAAAATCCAATGGACATTACAACACACTGATGGCTGCCCACATTATCCTCTCATCAGCGTTAAATTAGCACCCTGACAATGCACTGATGGCGGCACCAGCAGGGCTGAGATAAGCAGCAATAACAAAAGCAAATCAATGGCCAGGCATTCAGGGATGTCCCACCAAAGAGTCCATGTCCCCACGGCCTCCACATCAAGGATGTTCAGCACACCATAAAGGACCCCAGCAGTCAGGGTGGTCCTGGGAGGCTGTGCCGCTCCATGGTGCAAATGAAATGGAGGAGAGACCACAATTCACATTAGAGGAGGTTGGGAGTAAGCAAAAGCACTCTTCAGTGATAGGGAAACAGGGATGTCTGAAAACCTCATCCAAAATAGCTGTGGATGCCTCACCATCATGGCCAATCCGCAGCTGATTTGAGCAGGAGTTGGCTTGAACACACCAGCAAAGGTCTCGGTGACGTTTTGCTCGGAAGCCCTCGCTGGAAGGGGCTGTGAGGGGGATAACCCACCCCCTCTCTCCACATCCTCCTGGAAAACGGCCAGAAAAGGTGCAGCAGTTAGAGATCCTTTCACCCCAGCTCAGGCTCTGAATGGAGCAGGCAGGCACTGACAGGGGGGCTCAGGCCACCCCCGCTCCCTGGGGAGAGATGCAGGGAGAGGTGGGACACACACCCCTTGGGAGGGGTTCCTGTTTTGAGGGAAGAAGAAAAGGACACGGACGTGGCGGTCAGGGATGTACTGTTGGCCCTGCTAATAGAAACCCTCTGTATAAACAGGGAGAGGATCCAACAGAGATCAGAGATGGTTTTTCTTTCAAGAAAATTAAACATTTAAAACATTTGAGAACACACGCCCTCACCCCCCGGACAGTAATTAACTTCTTCCTGTGCAGAGCATGAAGCACTTTCCAAAAACAGAGCTAGATGGATTATTTTTCAAAGGAAATGTTGTTGAAAGGATCTTCTGTTATGTCCTAAAGTGGGAAAACAGTCACAGTGGCTGAGGAAGGGCTTGCTCCATCCATGTGCCACACGATGGCTGCCTGAGGAGGTGATGCCACTCCAGATGCTGCAGGTTTGGGGGCTACATGGTGGTTGAGCAGCAGACATGCTGTTGGATGGAAAAAAGTCCTTGTTTGGTCATTATATGACCCTAAAAAGCAACACAAAGCAAACCAGTCACCAATAGTGGAAAAATAATCCCAAACTCAACCTGTGGGGGATGCATGGCATTTCCCCAACATGACAGGACAGGGGAACCTTGCAATGCGAGAGAGGATGTAAAATCAGATGCAGATGCAAATATATGCAGCGTTCAAGGGGATTTACATCCCACGTCCCCATCTGAGCCCATCTTCCTGTGAACTTAGGAAGAGCTCGGCCCTCATTCTGAGAGCAGTAGCATGAAAAGAGGCAGCTGGTATGTGTGTTAAACAAGCACAGTGTGAATGACATCCCGGCAATAAAAGGACTCCACTGCTAGCCAAGGTGTTTGGTGGGAACAAAATAACTTCCCAGGCTGATCCCACCACACTCCCTGAGCCTGCAGAGAGGTGGGAGCAGCACAGGGAGGCAGGATTGGAGAGAAATGGGTAAAAGCTGGTCTGGAGAGACAATCGTGCTTTGTAGCAAACTCTGAGGTTTGGATGTTTGTTTTCAGTGCTGCATTGGGAAGAAAATAAAACCCAACATTTTTTTGCAACACGGACTTGTATGGAAACAGCCTTTCTCTGGTTGAAAAGGTCAGGTTTTCTTTCCATATCTCCCTCACATCAAAAATGTCCTGCAATCCCTGGAGCTCAGGAGAAAATTTCCTTTCACAAAGTTAAGCAAGGGCAGGCCTGCTGGGAGAACTCATTTCTTTTCCTAGACCAGCTTGAGCCAGCTGGAAGGAATGGATCTGGGTTTGAGCACCCAAATGCCCTTTCGGGTCTGGAGTAAAGTCAAGTCATGGCACAGACAGGTTGCTCAGCAGGACCCTCCTGCCTGGCAGCCCAGGGCATCTCACCCAAGGATGTTCACTCAGGGCCTTGCCCTAGAGCAGGGGACAGCAGGAGCTGTCATTGCCCAAAGCTGCATGTGGCCCGTGCGAGAGCAGCCCTTGTGCCTCTCCCTGGGGTATAACATCCACAGGAGGCTCACGTGGCCCCACAGAGCTGGGGGACAGTGCCTCGTTTGGCACGGGAAATTATACGCTTGGGGTAAGAAGTCCTCTGGCTCTGCTCCTGTAATTTTTCTTCATCCCTTTTATAATCCTAAAATCATCCCAAAGTTTCCAAATTCCCTTTGGGTATCTTTCCCCTCTGACTTCACGCTACGGCCTTCCCCTGGATGAGATTTAGCTTTTAGCATCTTTGCTCCAGTAAGGATCCCTCTGTGTCAGCATCGCGAGGAGTTTTGGCACCAGTGACCAGAATCTCCCTCATAATGAGACATCCAGTGCTGAGCCTGGGAAGATGGCAAATGAATACAAAGAAAATATAATTCAAAGCGACAAGACAAAGGAAGCTGTTGGATGGGGACCAGTGCATCTGGGGAAACATGTTTGTATTAGAGGGAGAAGGGAGCAAAGGCAAGAAAAAGGAAAAGAAAGAAAGAGAGGAAAAAGGCATCCGGAGCAGGATTGTTCCTTGCCTGCAGGTGTGTGTGTAGGGAAGGCAGGAAAGCACAGTGCATTTTTGACATTAAAAGCATTGCAGGCTGGTCACCTCTGGCTGTTCACTCCACACTCCCTGGCGGGGTGTTGTGTTCCCGTGCCCGCAGGCAGCGCACTCCGTCCTTTTCTCTTTCCCCCACCATCTGCCATCGCAAATTCCCCCGAGCATCTCCCACCCTCGCATAGAGTTTCAACACAGGATAGAAAACAACAGGGAGAGAAACCCAAACCCGACCTGGGACAGCACAGGGAGGGACAGGACCCAGCTGTGCCTGGTCCCCACCACAGTGTTCTCTGGCCTCTGCCATTGGGTGCTTTGGGGGCACCCCTGGGTGCCAGAGGGTGCGGGGGCTTGCTTATCCCAGGCTGGGGCAGGGGGAGGATGGGGAATGCAGGGCTGTGCACACAGTTGGATCCTCTTTCCTTGTATGGCTGGGCCGCCAGCGGCACAGTCCCCCCCTAACCCCATTGTTTCAAATTACAAAGCTGCCCCGATCCCACTGAGCCACCTCAGATCCAAGGAAAGAGCTGGCAGCTGCTTTGAAATCCAGTCTGGAGTGTCTCGAGCAGGCAGTGTTTAAAACAACAGCTGGGCTCCCTCCCCATAGGGCACAGGACCCCAGCCCTGGGTACCAGGGAGGGGCCTGTGGGCTTGGAGCCCATCAGGTAAAGGAAAAGGACATTCAGACCTGGAGAAAGGCTTCCATAGCCCCTGGAGCAGCCAGCATCCTCCTGCATCATGCTTGGCTGTTGCCCATCTCCCTTAAGGGCCTGGAGAAGTCCCTGGGTCCTGGTGAGTATTGCACAGGGATGTGTTCTTGCATCCCCATGCACCCTGGTCCCTTTTCCATGGAGCATGCTAGTCGCCACGTGAGACCTCTCCTCCAGCGTGTGTCCAGCTCATTGACTCTTGAGAGTGCAGTCATGGCAAAGGTCTGGAATTTATGCCAAGCTTATAATCTTAAATTTGGTTTAAATCCCTCTGTGCCCGTCAGTGCCTCCAGCACACTCTCCTGGGTCTTGGGCCACCCACCCCTGACCTTGAGACGCTGTGGTGGTGGGAGCTGGGAGGGTAGAAGGGGGGCACTGGGGGCTGGCAGTCCCATGGGCTGATCCGATTCTTCACGCGTAGTTAACTCCTGCTTGGATGGTCGGGGAGGAGAGCACAGGGCCAACGCTGGGACAAACTTGGTCATGCTCAGCCACATTCCTGCCTTCAGAAGGGCCCAGGGTGCCTGGGCCTCGGTGGACAAGGGCCCCAGGAGATCACATTACTCGGGCTTTTGTAGCATTAACAGCTGTGACGAGGTAGCAAAAACTATTAGTGTGCACGGCTGTGTGTGTGAGTGGGGCGGGGAGACACCGTCCCCCCCAGCTCAGCCTGGCATTAATCCCCCAAACAGATTAATGACGCTTAGTGCTTTGAAGAGAAGAAAAAGGAGATGGGAGACTAATTGGGGAGATCAGCAGGACCAAAGCCGGCACAGACTCCCCCCAAAGCCCCAGACAGCGATTGGAGAATCGGCTTCTCCCTCGGGGAACTCAGGGCATCTGCACGGGGAGCTCAGCCTGTCCCTGGAACTGAAGCCAGACAGAACTGTGTGGGGAGAACCTCCTCTGGGGGGTCCCACGGACTGGGAAGAGGTGACAGGAACCAGTGGTTGCAGCACACCTGGAGCCATGGATCTGTGCCTCCTGCTCCTCAGGGAATGCTGAGCTCCCACTGCACACTCAGCCCGTGCCAGGAGCCGAACTCAGCCCTCGGCTGTGCAGCCCTAAGCCCTGGCACGCTTGTGCCTCGTCGCTGCGAGCAGCCTGAACAAACGCGGGCTGTTTGCAGAGCAGCGGCAGGAATGCTGGCCCCGAGCCCGGGGCGCTGCAGGGCCCGCAGCTCCCGTCCCTTCCCACTGCCA